AACAGATTATAGTCCAACAGGTTTATTTGAAATCACAAGCTTTCGGAGCGCTGCTTCTTCGTCAGGTGAAGTGAAGTATCCTTTTGGACATTTTATTAATCCTTTCATAGATTTGTTTTTTTTAAAAGCTATATTTAGAACTTCATCCAATCAAATCAATCATTGAATCAAACTACAGGTTATGTAGGTCTGTAATACTCGAAAGAAATAAGAAAACTGAAAACAGACACTCCAATGCAATAAAATGAAGCAGGTCACCAACTTGTCTGTACGCTCTGCTGGATTTAACCTCTGACACCCAAGCAGTTGAACCTTTGGTGGAAAGAAACTTTGCAGCCCCAGGCCTGTGCCTGTCACCCTTGCCAGATTTGTGGTCTCTGGTGTTATTTTCCACCGCGTTGGAGAAACTTTCTCAAGGCAAAGGGAGGGAAAATACTAATATGGGTGAAGTAGCTGCTAACGTTGTAGCATTTCTAGTAACCCCTGTGGCAACTAAAGATCTTTACTTCTACAAAACTGTTTAAACTACTCACAGTGATTAACCGATATTGTAAGTGGAGGACTGTTTCATATGTTCAAGCATACTCTCTCCAAAATTTCTGTGATTTCTTTAAATTAGTCCAGTCCAGTTTTTGAAATAATGTCCTTTAAATTACCTGGTAGGACACAGAAACAATGATGTTCTTCCGACCTAGTCAGTTCTGCAACTCACTTGGGGAAAACCAATTAGTTGGGCTGGGATTCTAAATGATCTTTTAGCTATTGAAGGAAATAGTATTGAGGTTACTGATAGATGAGAAACATATAACCAGTATTTGAACTTTGTGCTATAGAGCTTTTGCTGACAAGACTATATTTTCTTTTCATTTGCTTTGTTTGAATTTTTAGATAAATGGATGTAATAATGTTTCTATTTAAGCCTTATTGTGAAACTCCTATTTCTTAAATAGAGCTTTTGAATTAGTTTTATTTTGTCTGGCAAGTTCATGTTTAAACACCCCTTCTCCTAAAAAAATGATCCAAACTATGCTATTGGGAACTGCTGGGAACTATTTAGACTAGCCTTTGCCAATGACTTAAGTTATAATGCAGGAAGTGTGAAACAAAGCAAAATCAATCTACTACTTGACCAAATCTGTTCTGGCACATCATGTACAAATAATAGTTACAATTTGTGCTAATACACAATTGAAACCATTTCATATATAAATTGCATACTATAACTAGCCTTTGTTCTAAACCTATTCAAAGGAAGTCATCTGTGATCTATTTTGCTTGCTTGCATTTCAGTACAAACGTATGGGTGAAAATGTATTCACTGCCTCAGAGAGACCGACAATATACATGTCTTAATTTGGCCATTCAGGTGGCATTGCTAGATCTTTCTAGTATTGTTGAAGGCTTGGTGAGGTATTGCAAAGAATTGCCGAGTTTTAAACAGAGATAGATATCATTTACTAAGACTTCATGATATTTAAAGGATGCTTAGAAAGAAGCCAATTTCCTCTGGTTTAAGTTGATGTCATTGTGTGACTAACAAAGATAGTGTTGCTTTCAGAGCTTCTGAAATACAGCACAGTCACTGGCAATCTCTGTTCGATTATTACCCATACTATATGTCCAAGGTACAATGGTATAACTAGAGTAGAATCATAGAATGGCACAGAAGGGGTCATTTGTTCCATTGTGGTCATGATGATTTCCTGCAAAAACAATTGACGCAGTCTCATGCCACAGCTATTTCCCCATAGCCCTGCAAGTAATATCTCCTCAGGTGCATATGCAATTCCTTTCTGAAAGTTACAATTGAATCAGCCTCCCTTGAGCATTGCATTCCAGTTCCTAACCAATTACTGCATAGAATGTTTTACTTCATGTTGCCATTGCAGGTTCTTTTGCAGATCATATCATATGTCCTCAGGTTCTACTGTATCTAGATCCCTCATGCTTTTAAACGACTCCATAATATATTTTCTCAACATTCTCTTCCCCTGGAAAACCCTAGGTCTATCTACATAACTGTCAAGTCTCATCCCTGGTAACTTTCCCAAAATGCTTTTCTGCATCCTTTCTAAAGCCTTTCCTAATGTGCTGTATTCAGAATTTGATACAATACTGCAGTTAAAGCTAAACCAGTGTTTATGCTTAATCATAATCACTTTGCTTTGTGTTCCATATTGCTGTTTATAAAGCCCAGGATCCTTTATGCCTTTTAACCACTTTCTCAACCTGCCTTTCCACCTGCAACAATTTATGTGCAGGTACCCCAAGTCTCTTTCTTCCTGCAACTGTTGTACAATTGAGCCTTTTAGTTTACATTGTTTTTCTTCATTCTTCTTACCAAAATATACAAACTCACATTTCTGCATGTTAAATTTAATCTGCCACATGTCTGCTTATCCAACCAGCCTGTCTGTCCTCTTGAAATCACTATCTTCTTCTTCTGTAAAATTCTCCTCATAGTTCGTAATACTTCCAAATTTTGTTCAGTCTACAGATTTTGCAGTTGTGCCTTGTAGACCCAAGTCTAAGTCATTCTGTGTGTCTACGGATGCAGTTGGCTTAGTACCAGCCCCTAGGAAATCCCACTGTACATCTGTCTCCAATCTGAGAACCAAGCAACCACTTTCTATTATCTGTCACTTAGCCAACTTTGTATTCATGCTGTCCCTTTTATTTCATAGGCTGCTGCTTTGCTGGCAAATCTGTTACATGGCATTTTATCAAATGCCTTTTGGAAGCCTAACAGAACCACATCAACCATATTAATCATTATCGGTGCTCTATTTTACCCGATTAAAAAGTCAATCAAACCATCCCAGGACAATTTTCAATTAACAGATCTATGCAGGCTTTCCTTACTTAATCCGCAGAATTGTCCAAGGGATTGTTAATTTTATCCCAGATTAACGTTTCTAAAAGTTTCCCACCCCCAAGGTCTTATAAATAAATATTTTAATCAACTTGTTCAGGCATGTTATGGGCCAATGGGCCAAGGAGTGGCAGATGGAGTTTAATTTAGATAAAGGTGAGGTGCTGCAATTTGGAAAGGTGAATCAGGGCAGGACTTATACACTTTGTGGTAAGCTCCTGGGGAGTGTTGCTGAACAAAGAGACCTTAGGGTGCAGATTCATAGTTCCTTGAAAGTGGTGTTGCATGGAGGTAATGAAGAATGTTTTTGGTACACTTGCCCTTATTGGTCAGCACATTGAGTATAAAAGTTGGGAGGTCATGTTGGAGCTGTATGAGACATTGGTTAGGCCACTTTTGGGATACTGAGTAACTTCTGGTCTGCCTGCTATAGGAAAGATGTTGTTAAACTAGAAAGGGTTCAGAAAAGATTTAGAAGGATGTTGTCAGGGTTGGAGGGTTTGAGCTATAGGGAGGGACTGAATAGACTGGGGCTGTTTTCCCTGGAGTGTCGGAGGCTGAGGGGTGACCTTATCAGGTTTATAAAACCATGAGGGGCATGGATAGGATGAATTTTCCCTGGCTAGGGGGAGTCCAAAACTGGAGGGCGTTGGTTTAAAGTGAAAGGAGAAAGATATGAAAGGGACCTGAGGGGTAACTTTTTCGTGCAGAGGGCATTGCATGTATGGAATGAGCTGCCAGAGGAAGTAGTAGACATTGGTACAATTCCAACATATAAAAGACATCTGGATGGGTACATGAATATGAAAGGATTTGAGGGATATGCGCCAAATGCTGACAAAAGGGACTAGATTAATTTAGAATATCTGGTTGGCATGGACAAGTTGGACCAAAAGGTCTGTTTCCATGCTGTACAGCTCTATGACTCTGTGACCTCTGGAACAGATGGGACTTGAACCTGAGATAAAAAGGTGTAGAGCCAGTCAAGGAGCCGGGTATGGAGCCAGTAAAAGTGAGTGTAGGTGGGGAGTTAGGGAGGGAATCGGTCAGTCCAGGGAGGACGGACAGGTCAAGGAGGCAGGATGAAGCTGGTAGGTAGGAGATGGGGGTGGGGCTTGAGGTGAGAGGAGTGGATAGGTGGGAGAAAGGACAGACAGGTTAGGGAGGCGGGGACAAGCCGGG